ATTTTTAGCACAACGCTTTTTGCTAAGAGTGTGCAGTTTAATGGCAGTGACCCCTGCTGAACAGCTGCAGGTGCTGACCTGAGGTGGACAGTCCATTTTTGAATCACAAAGAGATGTTATCATTTCAAAGAGAAAAAAGGCATATAATATGCCTATAATTAAATATTGAATTGTGTGAGATGTTTAAAAAGGTGATAACCTGCTACATATTTTTCTTTTTTTACCCAATTTTCTCGTGTCCAATTCCACCCGTTAGTTAGGACTCCCCCGATCACACGATACTATCAGCGCTAGGAGGGTGAAGGCTAACACAGGCTTCCTCCAAGACCTGTGAAACCAGCTACCGCATCTTTTGGAACAGCCGCTCACGCTCGGAGGAAAGCGCCAACCTGTTACATCGGCCAACAGACGCCTGCGCTGACTAGCATCACGTTGAGTGAAGGGGGGGGAGAGCGAAGCCAGTTGTGCTCTCTTGGACTCCCGGCTACGGATGGCTGTAGCATCACCAGGGATCGAACTCGCAATCTCCTGACGATAGACGGTTGCGCCACTCGGGAGACACTGTGCTCGCTTGCTAAGCTAACATTAGTTTCTTGTGCTAACAAGGACAGTGGTTTACAAAGCCATAGCATGCTAAGCTAATGTTACCTGCTACTAGTACAGCTCTAAACTGTATCTGACAGTTTATTAGATAGAAATGGAACATAAATTGTTAACTACAACTATTTCAAACACTGTTAGCTATGCTAGCTCTTATTTCTGTAGTTATAAACTTCCTGTTGTGCCATATTCCCTATATTTGCATATTTTAGTATTTTGGACCATGATTTAAGCAGAGATGCTATAAACAAGGCAAGAGGTCACTGGTTGGAAAATGAGTGGAAAGGTTTTTAACGCTCAATATGCTATCGGTTCAAGTCCCACCCTTCAATAAATAGGAGCCAATCAGCTTGCTGGTAAAGCCACAGGCAGAAAAAAAGTTTCTCTTCATTGTGGAGATATGTGCATGCGCCCGTAGCCAGAACAACCAAAATGTTTTGTGCTCTTTTTGTCAGTCATTAACCACAGTTTCTAATATGTTTTTCAAACGTAAATGAGGCTTTTAGTTTTGGATTAATAGGTCTCCCCCATTCAAAGAAATAGGAACCTGGTCTTGTATACCTGGAAGTAACAGCCAGAGAGGAGCTGCCAAGATGGCTGTCATGTGGATGTACTGGGAAAACCTGTTTTCAATGAGAAAATGTAAAAACAGTGCTGTAGTAACACAATTAACACAAATGTCAGAATATATAGCCATTCAAGAGGAGATAACCATTTAAAAAGACATTTTCATTTAACAGTTTTCTGTTCTGTTACTAATCACTGAAAAATGCTCCAAAATTATTGCCTGTGGTAATCAGTACAGATGCTACAGATGTGGCAGATTGGGTTGAAAAAATCTTAAGTATTCCTTTAACTCAGTGATATTGTTATTCAGTGACTGAGTGACTCACAATATAATCAGTGCATAGCTGTGATGAGTTTTTCTAAGGTGAAAGACACCAAACTCACTGCATCTTTAGATCAATGCAAATTTCAAGTAAATAAATAAAGAAAATGTTACTTTAATCCAGCTGGCACAGTGCCTGGGGTTGGTTTCTTGGCTGCGATTTAAGGCCAATCTTAAATTAAATTAAACATTTAATATTAAAACACTTCTGAAACACTATGGTGTTCTATGTAAACTATGATTTGTTGAATTTACCTCAATCATTTGTGGAAAGTAATTGCATATTGACTCATTGGATTTCCTGGTCATTAATTTAGTAATGTAGCCACTAAACTGAAGTGAAATGCTTGCTGAAATGCTTTCCTGCCCTTCGAGCTGCTGTGCTTCATTCCAGGATTCATAAAGCCGCAAGGCTGCACAGATTGAGACCTGTTCATTGATCGAAGTCCTCGGAGGCATGCAAGGACACCACATCTTGACTGCAAGCACACACTTAATCCTTTCACTTAATGCTTTCTTCTCCTGTTCATTACACAGCTTTGTGTTTACTCACCAACATCATGAGCCAAACCTATAAGCTCAGATATGACAGAACACCACATTTACAAAGTGTGTCAACAGTTATTCTTTAAAACAAATAAAGCTTTTGGCTTACTGTCACACTGAACATTGTCTGGATTAGATTAAAATAATTGAAATCTTTTATGATTTGTTAAACTGGTTCAGCTGTTGCTCTGAGTTCCCGAAATTGCTCAAGGCCTCTCTTTAAAAATCTAATCATAATTTTTGACATGGCTGCCATTTCTCTTTGATTTCATTCCATCACTCTGCCATTTAAACTGATGTAATGGCAGTAGCTGGAATAAATCATTGTAGGAATAATAGCGTGACACTTCAGCTGTTAATTATATCAACTTTTATAACCAGAAATGTCAAAATCATCAGCTTCAGCAACAAGTACATGTGGAACAGTAGAGAACATTACTGGATAAGTACAGTGCCTAATTAGTC